GCCTTTTTGAAAGTCTGATTTCTAAAACTAAAAGCCAGCTTCCATTTTGAATAAATTCAGAAACAATTTTGCTTTTTGCATGAATAGGAGCAACGGCAATCTTGGCTTAAAAGAAATTGTGTTGTTGAGAAAGCAAGCTTGGTAAAGGTATATTTATATTCTATTCAAATAATTATACACTATGCCTTCTCAGTGGAGCAACTTTTTTCCCCCTGATCCACAGCCAAGGCAGAACTTAATGCTATAAATGTAACTAAGCAGGGGATAGTTCTTCTGTTCCCCTGTTCGAAAGAATAGTGTGTGTGTGTGTGTGTGTGTGTTTGTTTGAGTCAATGTTAACTCATGGACAAATCCTTGCAGTTTTCTTTGCAAGGTTTTCATAAATCATTTGCCCTTTCCCTTTCCTAGGACTAAGAGAAAGAGTGACTGGCCCAAGGTTACCCAGCTGACTTTGTGCCTAAAGCGGGACTGGAACCCCCGTGGGATTAACTCGATTTTTTTAGGGCTTTTTCCTCACACCTTGCTAACTGCAACTGGCTCATTAATCCTTTTTAAAGGGCACGACATGCCCTCCTGGCATTGGCTTTGTCTCTTCCTCAGGCCACTATGCAGATAATATACATTCCCATCAGTGGTGGGATTCAATTTTTTTTACTGCCGGTTCTGTGGGCCTGTCTTGGTGGGTATGGCCTGTTTTGGTGGGCGTGGCAGGGGAAGGATACTGCAAAATCCCCATTCCCTCCCAATCAGCTGGGACTCGGGAGGCAGAGAATAGATGGGGGTGGGGCCAGTCAGAGGTGATATTTACCAGTTCTCTGAACTGCTCAAAATTTCCACTACCGGTTCTCCAGAACTGATCAGAACCTGCTGAATACCACTTCTGGGTCCATTCACAGTTTGGAAGTAGCAATTTCCCTCTTCTTCAAACACAAGTTTGTGTGAATGATCTGGGATGGTTCCTTGATAGAAATGGAGATGACATTTGAAGGGACTGCAGGCAAACTCTCTCTGCTCTGGTTGCCTCCCATTTTAAAAAGAGTAGCCAGAGACCTTGGCATCCACAGAGGCACTTGGGGATTAAGGAAGAAGCACATTCAGCCTGAGAGATTGTGGGGAGGCTGAGAAAGGAATGGAACAGAGAGGTGGCAAAACAAGAAACTGCATGATAGTCAGATGATAGCTTATCATTCGGAGAGACTCTATCTTAATTACTTCAAAATAAATGAGGTTGGGAAATTCCTCTTCAAGTTTTCAAGAGTCTGTATCTCCCTAGACTATCATTATCATTAAAACGTTGATTATATGCCATCAAGTTGGTATTAACTGTTAGCAACTCCATGGATAACCTTCCCAGGGTAGCATTAAAAATCCTTCACTGAAGTTTGCGTAGTGCTGGTATCCTTGGTTTTAGTTCATTCCTCGGTAGGCATGCAAAGGCTTGCATGGTTTGCATAGGAAAAACGTTTTGCCTGCCCATGTTGTGATTGTGTAGCCTGAGGCATGTTTCTACCTCTGAAACCTGTCCTCTGTGGATCTTAAAAGAGCTTACTTCCAAGAAAACTCATATTTGGATGTCAGTCCTAGTAGAAAAATATCCGCGAGGTGGGGGGGAACTAACCTTCATCCGTCCTCAAAAGGACACACAAATAAATCTGCAAGATTAGTGTTATCACAATGTGTGTAAGCTTTCAAAGGGAATCTGATTATCAGTTGATATGAGCTGATAGTTGGACTACTTTTGGATGTGGATTTAGAACGCTGCAATTTTTTTGCTCGTACAAGAAAACGTATACAAAACCAGACAGGGTCTAATAGTAATCATGCCCTTCATCAACATAGTGATGTTGACAAACTCTACTAAGCAAAGAAAATAGGTGAATGTGGAATGCTTCCTGCCTAGTCCCAGCCCATTCAGATTAAGCGAGCAGTTGGCAGGTAAAAGAAATAGAAAATAAAGAACAAGAAGTGGCTTTCAATCTTCTTAACAGCAGTTATAAGTACATTTCTATTCTATTTTATTTTCTCCCTCCCTCCCTCTCTCTCTCTTCATAATTTTCTTTTCCCCCACAATCTACCCTTTCTAAATATCCAATCCATAAATCCCATTTTTTCTCTTTTTTTCAAACTAATTCTTCTTTATTGTAAGGTTCCCTTAACAGAATTTGGCAAGTCAAAAATTACATTTCTACCCCTTCACCTTTACAATCCAAAAACTAGGATGCTTGCCATGCACAGACCTCTTTTGCAGACTCTTATCCTACCATTGCCTGCCTTCCCCATGATTAATACAGGCAATTTAGACCTACATGTGGTTCTTGACTTACAAAGGTTCGTTTAGGGGAATCCAGATTCACTGAGCAACTGTGTTACTAACCAAACAATGGCAGTGATTCATTTAACAACTGTGGCAAGAAAGGTCATAGAATGTGGCAAAACTCACTTAACAAATGTCTCGCTTAGCAACAATTGGGCTCAATTGTGGTTGTAAGCTGAGAACTACCTATATACCAATTTATAGATTAAGATAATTTCAACATGATCCATTTTAACATTGCTTCTCCCGTGCTCTCAAGTACATACACATCTAGCATGACGAATCTCGTGGAAAAGCATTATTGTATTCTCTTTATAATTAGAGTCATCCATTTAATTAAACTATTTTGTATTTTATTCAGTTTCTTTTTTGTTCTTCCACTCCTTTGTAGAATTTTACTAATCCATCTGAAATTCAGAAAAGGTGTGACACTCTTGAAAAGCTTATTTCAGAAGGATGCCATCTGAATTTAATTGAATTTCCCATTTCCAAAGTAGAGATCCATGAAAACAAGCACCTGAGTGATGGGCCACAAATAAATGGTTCAGAGGTTATTCAGATTTCTCCTCAAAAGATAACTATTTTCCTGCGGCCAGGTAAGTTACATCATCATATCTATAAAACTTTTAAAAATAGTCTGGTTATTTATTTATGGATTGCCTCAATCCTGACAAAAGTAAGAGTTTACAAAAGGCCATGGCAATAAAGTCAATGCACAATTTGCTCTACAAAAAATACGGTAAGGATTTGAAAGGAGATATCTGAATTCATTTACTAGAGAGTAAGCTTTGTTCAACTTAGGAAATCTATTTCTGAGTAAACACCTGGGGATTTTTTTAATCAAGTGATAAAAGAACACCTGAGGCTGTATGAGACTCAGAACCATTTCTGTAAAGTTAATATTTTGTTCACAATAGCTTTAGCAATTTCCTTTTTTCCAACTGCAATATTAATATGGCACAGAACAATAGACTCCATCATAACTTACAATGAAATATCTATCATTTGAACCTATTATGCTACTTCAGTCCAGATAGGTGTATTTGTTTAGCTATGATTGCAGCACATTTGATGAATAGATTTGAGAAATATACAGATTTGTAGTAGGGAAAGTAGTAATTGGTGAAAGCAGAAACAATTTACTAATGTTTTTCTCCAAAAGAGACTCTCTGCCTTTTCAAATAATTTCTCAATAAGTGATGTTCTTGTACTTTGCCAACATTACTAAATCTCATTAATTTTTTTTTTTTTAAAAAAAGCACCTTGAATTGAACTCACAAGGAAACTGTCAACCAATACAGCTCATGAAGCAGAGGTAGAATATGTGCAGTCCTTGGAGGACACATAATTGCCCATGCTGCCTAATATCCAACATGTGGACTTGTGAACCATTGGGTGGGGGGTGGAGTAGCACAACCATTTATGAAGGCCAGGAAGGGGCACTTTACAGACTATAAAGCACTCGTTCTGTAACCTTCATAAATAGGAATGGTTGTTAAGCATCATAATATCCAAATATGAGGGAGATAGGCAGATGATAGAGAGACAGAGAAATAGAGAGACGGAGGGAGGGAGGGAGGTTGGGAGAGAGAGAGAGAGAGAGAGAGAGAGAGAGAGAGCGCAAGATCACCCAGCTGGCTTTATGCCCAAGGGGGGACTAGAAATCATTGTCTCCCAGTTTCTAGCCAATGCATTCAAACATTACAGCAAACTGGCTCTCTTGAACAGGATATATGGAGTTATTATTTGAAAGTAAAGTTATTCATTGAACCCTTGTATTGTCACTCTAACTCCTAAGAAATCTTGCTAATCTGAACTCAGGGATCCTTATTCCTTGGATAAATAATTTCCAATCCTGATGGTAGTGAAGAAGTCTGACCATAAGATAAACTGAGTATGGGAGCCCCAGAGCACTGAGGGGCAGTGGGGGTAAAAAGGGTCATAGGATAAGGTGTGAATTTCATAAAACAAAGATGGCCACTGAGTTCTCTACCAGCTCCATCCCAGCAACCTTAAGTTTAGAAGCTATTACCAATTTTTTTAATGTGCTACATGGAGGAAATCATTAGCTACATGACCAGAAAATAGTTTTCAATATGATTTATATTAGTATGTGAATTTAGGGAGTAGCAAGATAATATTTAACTAGTTTAACATTAAGTATATACATACCTATTGTATTTAACGTAATATTAATGAACAACATGTTGATGAAAGAAATGTCCTTCTGGGTTCAGCTCCAAGTGGGGAAAAAGACACTGGAGACATGGAGGCTGCTTGGAAAGATGGTTTATTG